ATATATATATGTATATATATATAAATATATACTAATACTTTATTAGATAGATAGTTAGTTAGTTAGTTCAGATGCATATACATTTAAAAAAATATAATAATTTTATCAAGACAATATGATGGAGTATTAGGACCAGACTAAGATCAGAATAAAGTTGTAATTGTTACTTATTTCAACTGCCTGGATACAGGATTTGTTTGTTTGTTTGTTTTTGTATTTTTGGTCATCACCCACAGTTTGTAACCACTGGTGTTTGTAGGAACGTATACAGACCAGTAAGTAAACAGAGAGCCTTGCTTTACATCTCAGCTCTGTCTTCATTACAACAGACCAAGTATGCAATACTGTGGAAGCTGCACCGGTCCGTCTGTCCAACTCACACTCCCCAAGATATTTAACTCCTCCAACTTGAAGCATCACCTTGCTGCCAAGGAATCATTACTTATAAAGCATAAAAGCTCTAAAACTACATGTTTTCACCTGTTTTTTGTTTTAGTAAAGTAATGAAGAAACTCTCAATGGAGCCTCCAGACAGGCTGACGACTCTGCTGACTTTGTGGGACAACAACAAACCAGCTGAACCTGGACCCTGTGGTAGGAACCAATAACTTGACTCTACTTACTGGCACCGTCTTTGGGTATTTATTGGTTTGTTTGTTTTTTGTTTCGTTTGTTTGTTTGTATGTGTAGGTGGGTTTTCTCAGATGTACAGATGTGTGTGTGACTGGTTGGGGCTGCCTTACAGAGAGGAAGTCCAGTGGGTAAGAATCATTTCTGTTCTTTGGTTTAGTTTCACAGCAGATCTGTGATTCAGTGCTTTCTGCTAGCTACATGAAGATGCAGACAGGGCTTCAAATGAAGTAAAAACTAGTGCTGGGCCGCTGACGCTTAACAGTGATATTTTTTTAAACACGTGTTAATGCAGTTTTTTATTTCTTTATATTTCTCCATCATATTTCTGTTCACAGGGCAGCTAAAACACACACAGGCACACACAAACCCAGTGGTCACGGCGGGGAGGTGGAATCTTGATCACTTTTGGCTTTAGAAATCCTTCGTCGCGCATCTCATCCAATGAGAGCCTTTGTTGTCAAGTCATTGCGTGGCAGAAGTCACAGATTCTTCAGGGCTTTTTTTATTTTAAAACTTTTCCCGACGGCAGGATTGAAAAGAAGTAAAGTTCTCCGTAAGCGCTGCAAYGCTAAACTGTCTCACCACCGGAGCAGTTCAAGCTTGAAACATCACTTCAGTTTAAAACCAGTATAAACAAACAGAGGGAGGCTCTGCAGACGAGGCTAACTAGCATTTTGGAGAAAACGAAAAAGAAAAATAGTAAGACCGGCTGGCTTTGCCTTATTTGTTTAAAGTTTTTGAAAATGCATTTCCCCCTTTTTTAACATAAAACAGGACCTAAAAATGCTCTAAACATCTTTGAGTCAGTTAAATCTTGTACGGAACAATGAGTTTACATCGAGAATTCAAGGATTTTTTTGTTTTTTCATTCCAAATGAGTACTACATGAGGAATGAAAGATAAATACTGAGGTCACAGCTGTCAGCAAATGATAAATAAATAAATAAATAAATAAATAAATAAATAAATAAATAAAATTAGCCATAAGAAGATAAAAAGAAAAAAAACTGTATATAGTGTGTTACACATGGAGTGTATTGCAACATACAAACCCGCACATCCAGCCATAGTAGAGTGATTGTTTCTAAAAATATATATATATTGCGATTAATTGCAAAAATATCCTGAGATTAATAGTGATTAAAATTTTTAATCTATGCCCAGCACTAATAAAACCATTTTATTACTTTCTGTATAAATGCTGGTTTCCTCCTCAGGATGTTGACACCATCTACTTGACACAAGACACCAGAGAACTCAACCTGCAGGACTTCAGCCATCTAGAGAACAGGTGGGTGTTTGCAAAGATTTCTTTTGTATTAAAKCAAACCTGTATAAAAGCTTGGGTGACTTGGTGATTACAACCTGGCAAAAACCCAAGACGTTCATTGTGGGGGTGAGGATTTAATTTTAACATTTACATGTTTAATGAAGGCACCTCCAAAGCAACTCTGACCTTTTTTCTTCCTCATGTGTCCTCAGGGATCTTGTAGCTATTATAGCAGTCCTGGAATTTAACCAGTGGTTCACCAAGCTCTCTACCAAGGATTACAAACTGGTGAGTACCTCCTGATTTCTTTATTAATCATCTAGAGGGTTTGGGAATTTGTCTCCTTATTTACAGAGCACCACTCATCGTTTCTGCTTACAGTTTTAAACAGGTTTTAACATAAATTCTAAACAAAACCCAAACAAGAATTGGTCAAGACAAAAACAAAGTCAAGACTCAAAACTTTTATAAAAAGTCACAAAAATTAACTTTTAGACATTTTCCCAGCATTCTTTGCAGCTGGGACGTCATTCTGTCTCAGAGACACAGTTGCAAAATGTGTTGCAAAATGTGTAACATTAAAGAAAGACACACATCTTTACTTTAATCTGTGGTAAGCAATTATTCATATTTTAGTCTTAATAATATTTAAATATAAGAACTAAATTACCAGAAACACAACTTCAAAAGCTGTAATAAATTTTCCAACACGAGTTGAAAAGCTAYGATTTGCCACTGCCTTTTTTTGCCCTCCACTCCGCTCTTCCTGCCTGTCAGTCAAAGCTGAAGCTCTGCTGACTCTCCTGGCTTCACTGAAACAAATTATTTTCTCAAACCTCACCTCTAAATGAGACATGAACACTTTTCTCTGTGATCTATGAAGCAATTTGAGTTGTGTTGACACGTTGTCACATGACACATTTAAGTCTGAGGCAGGATGAGTAGGGGGCAACGGAATGCTGATGCAGCGCTTTCTTGTTGACTCAGGGTGAACTGGATGTTAATTATTTGCGGTTTAGCATTAGCTTCCACCTAATTTTACTGTCTGTTTAGCTTCTTATTGTCAGAGGAACAAAGTAAATTGTGTAGCAGTTTAGAGGTGAGTGAAGCTAACATTTTGGTTWGCTACGCTACTGGTTTTCAGTTTTCACAATAAAACTGTACTGGTTTCTGAGATGTCTTGCTGTAAGAGTAAACTGTGACTACCTACATGTGAGCAGCTGACACAATCATTTACAGACAGAAACTTTGTAAAAATCCATGAACATCAGTGCCCAAAAGCCCAAATTAGCTTTCATTCTATTTAAGAAAAAACAAAGGATTTCCTGTTTTTCTGTTTATGTGTTTAATATTTCTCTCCAAGTGATCACAACCACCAGCTGACTGGGTCAACAGATGGATAATTGCTGTTGGTTGTAATTGTGGCAGTGTAATTATTTTCCTGATTCAGCAATAATCCAAAGAATTAGGCATTTACAAAAGAAATATTGACACTCTAATCAGTTTAATTGCAGGCTAACGTGTGACCTTATTGTTACCATAGTGAAGAAATATATTTATTATAGAACCTTTTTTTGCTGCAGCATCTCTATGAAATGTTCAGATAAGAAAGAAAAATGCTTTAATTAATGTTTTTCATTTTATAAGTAGCTCCTAATTATTTGTCAGTATTTGTATCCTGGTTGAATAATTGCTTTTGTTCTRAGGTAATTAAGATGCTTTCCATTGTTTGAGGTGGTTGATAAATCAGATTTTTTGTGTTATTTTTATCACCTTTTTTCCGTGCATTTCCTTTCTCCATCGTAGGTCAGTACAGTCATCTGCTCCACATCCTTAACAGACAGTGTTTGGTGAAATCTATCTGCCTTTGCAAAATATTTGTCTCCTTTTTCAATCTCCCCCTCCAGTTATTTGGCTGAGAATCAGTCCAGTGTTCTCGTGTGATAAGACTCCTAATCCAAACGAGACAAAGGGGCTCAATGTCTTAGGCTGTCTCCCCCTCCCCTTCTTCCTCTCAGCCCCCTTCAGTACCCCATTACCCACACTGCATCTCAAGGCTTCGCTCAGTCTCACAAATTACCACACACAGCTTCCTCCGTCCGAACAATTACCTCACATCTCCGTCACAGACGGCTCCTTTTATGTTAAAATGTTAAAAACCAGAAAGCAGTCTGGTCAACGCTTATTCCTGCAGGTTCCTCTGAAGTCCAGAAAGGATTTTTGTCCTTTTTTTTACAAGATGCTGAGTGATAAAGCTGTGATTTTAGGTTTAGTTTTTCCAACACAGCACATCTTGAATGCATATTACATTGAATACTTACAGACAGAGTTGTAAAGTAACTAAGTACAAATACTTTGTTACTGTACTTAAGTAGAAATTTTGGTTGTTTTACTTTACTTGAGTAATTATTTTTCAGTGTAATTTTTACTTTTACTCATTACATTTTTACACAATTATCTGTACTTTCTACTCACATTTTTTAAAAAGGTAAGAATTAGAAAGTTGTTACTTCTATTTTATTCCGAGTTATTTCTTAAAAAAATACTATCCTGATAAATTGTGTCTCTTGGATAGAGTGAAATTAATTGTGGTTGGATGAAAAGTATAAATATATACTATTCTGACACCCTATTAGCTTGTACACAGCCCATCACAGCTGCACGCCGTTAGAAAAAATATTTTTTGGAGAAGTCACCTCCCAATAAATGTCATTTTGGAAAATCTAACTGCTCACTTTTACTCAGTACTTTTACTTTTAATACTTAAGTAGATTTTGTGTCAGAAATTTACTTTTGATACTTAAGTACAAAAATATCAGATACTTTAAGATTTTTACTCAAGTAATGTTTTTAGAGAAGACTTTAACTTTTACCCAAGTATTTTTATGTTAAGATACTTGTACTTTTACTCAAGTATCACTTTGAGGTACTTTATACAACACTGCTTACAGAGAGTACTTACATACATTATGCACCTCTGTCATGGATAAAGTCTTTATTCACAACATTCATTTATAGGTTTTCTGTACTAGATTTTATTATACATGTATACTGTGTGCATAGATTTTAAATACAAGTAAACAATTTTTTTCTCTATTGTGAAGCACCTTATGCCCGTCCGTCCGTCCGTTTCCTTCTGCTTATTTGGGTCGGGTCTCGGGGGCATCAGCCTAAGCAGAGAGACCCAGACTTCCCTCTCCCCAGCCACTTGGGCCAGCTCGTCCGGGGGAATCCCAAGTGTGTCCTGGGTCTTCCTCTGGGCCTCCTCCCAGTGGGATGTGCCTGGAACACCTCACCAGGGAGGTGTCCAGGAGGYATCCTAACCAGATGCTCGAGCCACCTCAACTGGCTCCTCTCGACGTGGAGGAGCAGCGGCTCTACTCTGAGTCCCTCCCGGATGACGATGATAATTTTATAATCATACTAACTTTATAATAATCTATGAAAAGTGTGACTCAATTGAAATCAAGACAAACAAAATTGAAAAAAAAAAGTTGCATTTCTCATTCGATAAGAAAACCAATCATGTCCTCGCAGGTTAAATGAAACTAGCATTACTTGAAGGAATGCTAAGCATGCAAGGACTTCTTCCTTTCCTGACAAAGCTTGAAAAAACAAATTTGTGTGATTTGTAAGCACTCGGGGTGTGCATTTTGTATGACTCTCAGCTACTACTAAACCAAGGTACAGGTCAATATCTGTAAAACTGTCCGAGTTAMAACCATTGTTTGTGTTTGCTAAGGGTGATGAGCCGTAGCGGACTCCTTTAAATGACGTTGACTCTTAATGTTAATCACTTGTATAGATGCATCCAATAGTCACTTTCTGGGCATTTTATAAATTTCAATCTGTGATTCATCAGAGATTTTGGTAACAGACAGACACAGGCATTTGCATTTTTGTCCCCAGGTTGTGTATTTGGGTGGCACTTGGCTTCAAAAACAAAACGTGTTAGTAAAAGCACTTCAGTTAGATTAAGCTTTGAGTATCTTGGTTAAAAGGTTTTCTTACAAGCTATACTTTTTGAGTATGGAGAGAGAGGAGTTATTTCGAGCTRCAGAACCGGAAGAACAACTGGATTCATCAGCATCACAAACAGAGGATCTCTTGGACTCGGAGACCCCAACAGGACAGCAAGTGGAATGCCCCCTCCTGGATTTTACTAACAACATGAAAGAACCTGGCGAGATTAATATCAAACAAAAACCACACCCAAATCCACGTAACTCTCCTCTTCCAGCCCCTCGCACTAAACCAAGATCTACAAAAAGTCACAGAGCCCCACCACCACCACCTCTGACCCTTCCACACATCAAAACAGACAATCCTGTTTGTGTTCAAGACGATCCAAAGACTTTTGTGTGATAACTATGTTTTGGGGTTAGTAATTACTGTGGGAGGAATAAAAATTGAATTACTGGGGTTGGGATTTTAGAAAAGTACATACAGTATACTTAGGTTTATGCTGACATGTTTTTTTAAAAAAATACATTAAAGAGTTTTTTTTATTTTATTGATCATTTAATTGGTAATTTAATGATCAGATGGGGGAGATGTAACGGAACTAATACTTTTATGTTTAAGCTAGTTATTCATGACATCCTTTAATGACCTAGGTTTTCATGACATGCTGTTCATCTGCAGATAGAATGATTAAAGTCAGAACAAGATTTGCTAACAACAGTCATTCTTAGATATCACTTGTGTTTATCTTTGTGTTTTCCACTGACCTTGTATCAAATCTTGCTAAGATGACATAATGGTGTTTGTTAATATACAGTATATATGAGGCCTCTCGAGACAGTGAGTAGTGTGGAGAGACAGTGACAGAGAGAAGCAGAGGCACAGAGACAGGCCAGGTTGTCTGTGTTTCCTGTTGTTGCAATAAAACTCAGCTGATCATCTCACAGAGTACCTTCATTCTTGGACCACGTATTTCTGTCTTAGTTAAACAAATATTGTCATAACATCTGTAAACATACATAATTTTGTTCCACCCCATGTAAAGCATGTGATCCGAATGATAATAAAGTCTCCTCGAATCCTACTGGCATAATTTGAATCATTTTAGCATTAAGCCAACAAAAGAGAAACACAGTCATACTGACTGAGCGACCTGCTGCTGGATACAACTGGATGTAAATAATCTGTTTACAACTTTAAACTGTAAGTAAAGAAAATGTTAAGCATGACGTGGCATTTGTTTTACCTTGGCCTATTTAAAGAGACGTCTCGACGGTGCCGCACAGCTGAGCGAGAGCTGGCCCGAGCCTTCGTCTGGGGAGGAGAAGAGAGGAGGAAGAGGGCCTGTAGCCTGAGTGGATAAAAGTGATGACAGTGTGAAAGGGAGATAAAAAAAACCCGAAAAGAACTTGGATGGCAGCAGGAAATGCTCAGAAATAATTCAGCAGACTCATAAAAGTTGTAATTTTACAGCAGCACAAGCACGGCATGTGCTGCTAAACATCGATATTTTTGCATTAAGAGCAACCTTAAATAAACTGCGTTGTGTGTAAAAGGACAGAAAATGCAGCTGGTAAGAAGACATGCAGCACTAAACTCAAAGGCCTTCAGGCCCTAAATTACAGTCTGGCCACCTCTATAAAACAGATAAGGGTTTCCTCAGTGCAGTTGACAAGATAAATAACACACACACACACACGCGCACGCACACACACACACACAGCAGGCTTTCACAGCGAGGGATTATGCTGCTCATCCTCAGTTCCATCAGGCTTTTAGTCTTTGGGTCTAATCAAGATGTCGAGCCAAAACTGAGACAGGAGGGAGGAGAGGACTGCAGCGATAAGAGAACTGGCCTTCTGGTTCCCTCACGGCTGCGCAGCGTGGATGTGTGTGAGAGCGTGTGATATTTCATTAAAACGTGGGGTCAGAACAGCAAAACATGACACAGCCGGTACTTAGAGCGGTGACTGGTACGATACACACGGGGATCGTCAGCAGCCATGTGGTTGTGGAAATACTGGCATCTCTATGGGTTCTGTTCATTATAATTCACTGCTTTCATCTGCTTTTCCTTCTGTTTTTCTACCCTCTATTCTTCTCATGCTTCTAGGTTATTACTCGTACTATAGCAGAGTAATTGTGTGGACAACAGCGTCTGTTTTCTGTTTTCCTCTCGTTTTCTCACTCGCTCTATTCTCTTGTCCTCGCTGCAGAAAAGTCTTGGACAGCATCCTCATTGTTTCTGCCCCACTGAGGCTGCCCGTTAGCACAAATAGTCATTGCTGAATCAAGAATGTTGTTCCWGCAAAGTTGTGTCATCATACAGGGAACTGTTTTTTTTGTTGTTTTTTTTGAGTGCGGATAATTAATCAAACTCTAAAAGTGTAGCAGCAGCACCTGAATGAGTGTGGGAATGTCTGGGTATGACACAGCACACGGTGAAGTGGGTCAGTGAACACGCAAGGTGCAGTGTGGACKCTCAGCTGTTCAATATTTAATTTGGTGTAAAAATGAAGCGCTTCTGCTCCCYTGGCTGGCTCTCCTGTTGTGTTGAGATCACAGCGGCGAGACAAGTTTCTCCCTGTAAACAGTACGAAATCTGCAGCCCCTCCCCGTCACGGTCTCATCGGATCACGCATGAATAGTCTTATGTGGAAAACATTACTCGTATGCTTCATTTCCACATTTGACGGCACAGGTTTAATCAGCATGTCCTGCTTCCTGGAGTTCTTGTGTTATGAATCACTTCAGGGACTCACTTGGATGTTGCTTTGTTTTTTTCCGTGACTTTTCTGTGAAGTTTTCTCTGTTCAARTATAAAAGGTTTGATTTAAGGTTTAAAATTCTTTACTTATGTTTACTTTGTAACATATGGMGAATAAAAACACTTTAACAAATATGTAAAGTTTGAACTGTGTAGCTTTAGCTCCATCATCCTATCCATCCACACATACACATACATTAACCCTCCCGCCATCCATCCATCCATCCATCCATCCATCCATCCATCCATCCATCCATCCATCCATCCATCCATCCATCCATCCCAATACCACTGGCCTGTAAAAAGTTGTCTGTAAAGTGAAAGCTTCCTGTGGTTTGTGTGTTTAGTCTGCAGATGTGTGTGAGCAGATATTTCGAGTGGTGTCTCGATCCAGTCGACTAGAAGAGTTGGTTCTGGACAACGCAGGACTCAAAACGTAAGAAAAATGCAACTTTCTTAATGTTCCTCAAGCAATATTATCTGTATAATCTCAGTGTATAGGAACTGTTCATTTATGTAGTATTGAAATGTAAGTTTAATGT